ACAGAAGGCCGGAGGGACCACAAATGCATCTCTTTCAGTCTGGACCCCTTTGTGCTGAGACAAGAACGACGGCGTCCTTTATAACAGGGGAATATTAGATGACAGAGCACTTACTATAATTCAGTGTAACTCAAAGCTTCCAAGCGATTGACAAGATTAAGTTATAATTCTGCAGTTCATCCATAGGGTCCGCGGATAGGCTGCGGACAGCTTTGGCCCTCTTTTACTTCCGAAGATGGAACGCTCCCAAAACACATTAGGATAATAGGAAAGAAGGGTTACCTCCACTTAAGTGCAATTTCACTTTGAGATCAAGAGACCTAAAGGACATATTAGCAGCGGGATCTTTATCCAGAGATATTTTTATTCCGGCTATCAGGGAGGTAAAGGTAACAATAACTGCAGTCATTAACAAATAATCGAGAATTTTCTCATTTGTGAATACAGCTACTGATGTGGTACATTGAGCTATTTAATTACTGTAATATCCTGAAGCATTTATAGATGCATATTAGAATTAGAATTAGAATTAGGTGATCAGTGGTCATTGTTAACACACCACAGCACAGCACACAGTGCGCAACAACGAAATGTGTCCTCTGCATTTAACCCATATGTGACTTTCGTGACATAGCAGGGGGCAGCTAATTCAGCGCCCGGGGAGCAGTGCTTGGGGACGGTACCTTGCTCAGGGTACCTCAGTGGTGACTGGCTGGTGGGGGATTCGAACTTGCAATCTTTCGATTATAAGTGCGCTTCCCTAGTGCAGTGGTTAGTACTGTTGCCTCACACCTCTGGCACTTGGGTTCAAGTCTCCGCTGGTGTTCCACATGTGTGGAGTTTGCATGTTCTCTTGTGTCATTGTGAGGTTTCCCCCCACAGTCCAAAAATATGAGGCTAATAGGAGATACCAAATTGCCCATAGGTGTAAATGGTGTGTGAGTTTGCCCTGCAATGGGTTGGCACCCCTTCCTGGGTTGTTCCCTGCCTTATGCCTGTAGGCTCTAGACCTGCTGCAACCTTGAACAGGATGAGTGGTTTCAGAAAATGTATGTATGTGCATATATATATATATATATATATATATATATATATATATATATATATATATATATATATATATANATATATATATATACACACACACACACACACCAATAGAGCATTCAATTGCACTTACATTATTATTTTCTGATTATGTCATTACTAACAGATACGCCTACAGTATAAATATATATTCCATATATATCCTATACTTTTAAATGATATATTTTTATTTATTTATTTATTCTATCACATATATAATGAATGGTAGCAGCAATTATTGTTCATCCACACAGTCATTTTGACCTTCTCCATCTACATCGTTGTGTTTTATTTTATCAGCATGTGTTATTGTCTCTACCATTGTATTTTTCAAGCTACTGGATGACTAAATATCCTTCGGGATTAATAAAGTATCCATCCATCCATCATAGTATTCATATCTGTCTTGATTTTATTCCAAGGACTGAACAATGATGGCCTGTTAATTGACACATTAAGGGGACATAGATCAATAAAACGAGTAAGTCATTAGGACATTTAAATAGCTTTTGTAAAAGCTATACAAACACAGCAGAAGTAAACAAAGCTGGAAAAACACACCAGTGTGAGTATATTTGTTATACAAAGATTCTGGACACTAGGATGCCATCTGATACTTTTCCTACATGGTCATACCTCTTGATAAATACTATATATACAGGGTAGCAAATGTTTGGCTTTAATCCTGCATCTTCAGATATAATAAGGACTTTTAGCACCATGCTGTTTACAGGCGAGCTCATTCCAAACAGCTAGGCTCTGGTAAGCTAAGGGACGAGAGGCACATAACCTGCTTGTATCAAATGCCCCAGAGGCCATGTAAATGGGTGCCAGCTGATGTAGAAGAAATTTTCAGTTGTGTGGCGAGACTGAAGCAGGAATGGCCCAGGTCAGAGAGAGGGAAAGAGAAGGAGGGATAGAGAGGGAGGTAGAGAGAGGGAGGGTGAGAGAGAGGTACACAAAGATGGAGAGGTAGAGGTAGAGAGAGTAATAGAAGAGAGAGGGAAGGAGAGAGGTAGAGAGAGGATGGGAAAGAAGAGATCAATGGAGAGGTAGAGAGAGAGGTAGAAAGAATGGTAGAGAGAGAAGTATTGGCAAAGAGAGGGACAGAAGATGATAGAGGGAGGGAGAGTGAGAAAGGGAGGGAGAAAGGGAAAGAGAGAGAGCCCTTAAGCAGCTCTGCTGCTGTGTATAATCATGGCTGGACTCGTCCTTGGGGAAACTGTGATTATCAAACGGGAGAGAGGAAAGCAGACAGGCCGCGTCTGGTGCCCCCACAAAGGGGGGAGAGGGGGGCTTCTCTGGAACTTATTTGTCAGGGTGAACTTTGTGTACAGCAGGCAAGCATGGGAGCTTAACCCATGAGGCAAAAGCCAGGCTAGTTGTAATGCAACGTGGCCTGCAGGAACATACTGAACGTATGCGCATGCCAGACTCACTGTAATACAACGTGGCCTGCAGGTATTCCTACACCAGGCTTGCTGTAATGCAACGTGGCCGTACAGGTACATACTGAATGCATGCATATGCCAGGTTCGCTATAATGCAACGTGACCTGCAGGTACAAACTGAATGCAAATGTACGCCAGACTCACTGTACTGCAACGTGACCTGAAGGTACATATTGAATGCAAGCGTACGCCAGACTCACTGTAATACAACATAGCCTGCAGGTACATACTGAATGCATATACACACCCCGATGTTACTCGGGTGGGAGGCTGACACCGAATAGAGCCACACAGCCAGTAAATACTCGTGTTTAATGTGATTTCAGGTCATCATTACAGACACCAGTGACATACTGCACGACAGAGGGCAATGAGGACCTTTAAGGAAGATGCTCTTCAACATGCAGTGAATGCTAGTCTGTCTAACAAGAAACCTAAAACACTGACAAAATTAGCCTTGGGCACAGGCAGGTTTGTTGATTCTGGGACCCAATTCAAAAAGCTCACAGTGTAGTGACTGTTTGTGGCCAACAGGGGGGTCCACACAAATGTATGATTTGAGTGGGGGCAAATACCGCTGTTGCTTGGACAACATTTCAGTAAAGAATAAAACCTATCAGAGAAAAACAAATGGCTTATTGCAATTTGGAAGAACGAGGGGACCTGTACTGCCCCCTGGAGCATGTCCCTTGTCATGAAGCAGGACTCACCTCTCTGGTCAACTTTTTAAAATTAAATTAAATAAGCAGTTTAATGCACTTGAACTCCTTGATGTTTGCAGGCTGGTAATGCGGTCCAGAGACATGCTGTGATTGACAGGAACTCTCAAGCCCTAGTGGGGTCGAGTTCAGGATGATGGAAGTCGGGAGTGAGCCAGCCAGGGTCAAGGGGCAGGAGGAGTAGACATTGATGCAATTTACCTCTCCGAACAGTACCACCTGAGAGTCAGGCTTAATGTCCATCCGCTATGTCCATTTGTTTCAGTGGCTGCTGTGTCACATGAAATCTGCCTTCTGACAAGCATCTCCAAAAGGACCGAGAGCTGGATAGGGATGATCAAATGCACCCTTTCAGCTGTCAAAAATGTGAATTGGACTAATCGGTTGAATGACTCCAAATACAGTGGCCTAGATGTTAAACATCAAAACACTGGCAGGAGCGTGTTGGATTGTTGCTCTTGTGTAACGTCCCCTGAACCAGAGAGACAGCTGATGAAGTCCAAGCGGATGCTAGTTCTTTAAAGACAAGGTCACACCCTGCATCCATTATCTATGGAGATGCTGTCTGTTTAGTTTGCCCACAAGCTCATGGGATTAAAACAGTGACTGGAAGACAGAAAATAGTCAATCGATACTGAATATATAAGGGCAGAGTGATCTGACATTGAAAAGTAATGACCCCCCCCCCCCTGCAAAATAGTCCTCACACCGCGGCAACCACTAAGCAACAGTGGGTGGAGATGTAAGTGGTGGAAGGCAGTGGGTATCTCACCTGTTTTGGATTTGCATCAGCTTGGCTGTGCCGACTGGCCGCTGTAACATAAGCCCTCCTTCCTTTTCCGTATGAAAATGTAAGTGTGATCCCAGAGGGGCAGTGAAAGCTGGGACCCCAGCCAGGGCGTGCTCCTGCTTACACATGCCGGTGGTAGATCATTCACGCAGACCACAGTCGGTCCTGGCATCAAAAAAGGCACCACTGTGATTCTGTTCTCCTCTCCTGGTGCAGGACGACGGTCGCTGGTTTTTTTCTGTCTCCCCCCATATTGATCATATTGCAAACCAAAGAGAGTCTATCTTCGGCTAATTAACCCAGCCGATGGACACCTGCCAGGTATAGGCAGGGATGCCCTGGGATTTACGATGACAGTCTGGGTAACAATAATTAAAAACACAGCGCAGACAATAAAAAGCCGTTCAGATGTTTACTCTAACTCAGACCATAGTTGTACAGTAATATGTCAATTAAATGTATTACTTAATCAAATCTCTCATCTAATTAATCAAACTTCTTGGATGATAATTTAGCAGTTCTTGCTAGAAGAAACTAGGCCCAATACCTCAAGATCAGATGTATAAATTTTATGTTTTATTTATTTAGCAGATGCTTTTAAACAAAGCAGTCCCTGGAGCAACTAGGGTTAAGGGCCCCGCACAAGGGCCCAACAGTGATTTCACTCTGCCGATCATGGGATCTAAACCAGCGACCTTCTGATCTTACCCCACTGATCCACACACCACCCACTCAATCCTTTACTCTTGTAATAGGTCCATTCTGCTTCTACCTACAGTAGAAAGGAGTGACATGTTTCAGAGTCCCGTCCACACATAAAAATTTATACTGCAAAGTTGCTGCTCTCCCCCATAATAGTAGTGAGATCATACATATTTACAAGTTTACATTCAAAGAAGCACCATAGTCAATATAAAAATATAGGTCATAGGGAAAAAAAATAACAAAGTCGCATTTAGTTAGAAAAATTTATTCAGTGATTCTCATCCACACAACCAAACGACAGAAACAACTCAATGGCATAAAGGAGAGATGGAACAGCTGTTTTGGTAGCTGTAGGGTGGTGATTACCAGAAACAGGCTCAGAGGCAAAGCTGGATTACATCACAAATATCTTTTCCCCGGAACCGTCCTTGGGACTCGACCCAAAACACATGCGGTAAAACCGAAACGCACTCGCAGAAAGAGCCTACACACGCAAGTTGCCAAGCTTCTGCAAACCACAGGTACAGCTGACAAGCGTTCATGGGAAAGCGGTCAAGCGGCGGCCACTGAGCATATGGCCTCACTGACGGACGAGTCACAGCGGGAATTCTGCTGTTTCTACGAGGCGGTACAGCTGGGTATTAAACCAGTACCATTCAGCATATAGGTCCATTACTATACATGTATGTGTTCCTCTGCTCCTTAAACATAGAAAACTACATTCTAGAAAGTTCCAGGTGCATGGATCTGGCCTCCTGCATGGCTAAGTGCCCAAGCAGAGGAAAAGGCCCAGATCACTCTGACGGGAGGCCAGCCGGTTCTTATCCGCGCCTCCGCTCACCTCCGCGCCTTCTTCTCCTTCATCAGCTTCTTGCTCTCCTCCCGCCTGCGCTTGTTCACGGGGTTGCGCGGGTCATAGATCTCGAAGGTATCCTCGTCCGGCACGTTGGCATCCTTCACTTTTCTGGTGTGCTCGTCGAAATGGAGCACGTGGACCATCCTGGGTTGGGGGGTGGGGGGGGGGGAGCAGGAGAGGATACATTGCTGGCAATGTAGCACATAATGGATAAGCAGACAAAACAAGTCATTAAGACATTAAACAAAAAATTTAGATGACTGCTTGTTAAAAATCTCTCTTCCAGCCTTTCAACATTTTACAATAAACATTTATAAACTAAAGTTCAATTTTCCTTTTGTTATATATACCTACAACAGAGAGAATATAAAAAAAGTTTACAATTAAACCTTTATATTTGTATTTTTATATTCACATTTGACTCGCCTGTAGCTTTACATCCACATTTTAATTATAAATCACTGACATTCTTTCCCTTGGATTGAAGTCAAAAAGAAAGATTGCAACAGAAAACAATGTTTTGTCTGCTAAAGTTTCATAGCAAACAAACGCGACCCGGCCAATAAACATGCTAAAATGTTTAAGGGTGACTGTAAGGGGGAATGAGGTTACCTCTACCTCAAGCCGCATGTAGCGACCGAACACCAAAAATTCTTGCTGCCTGACCACATGAGAACAAGGTCCTTATGCGGAGCAGAAAGACAGATGCCTATCTGCAAGCCGGTCCCCCCGTCTCGTGTGCGGTGAGCAGCCTCGAGCATTGCTATGCGACCGCGAGCATTCCGTCCAAGAAGGAACACATGTATGGGGACAGACAGGCGAGACATTCGACGGCCACAAGCCCCTCAAACAAACAACGAATTACGCTCATGTTTGCCCAGGTACACACATAATGATGCATAAGCATCAAATTCTTGCTAATATTATAAGACAGGCAATGCCAATAAAACGGAGCTAACTTTAGGGCTTTTGACCTTTATCCCATTTTGTTTTCTTCAGCATTAATCATCTATGTATTATGAATGATTTCACGTCTCCGGGCAAATATATTATGGGATTATGCTATAAATATAACTGCTACACAATGTAACAGGTAGAGCAGGCTTATTAGTTTATTTGGAGGCATCCAATATAAAAATAATGAACTGAATCATGCAAATAAATACTAATTGTGTTGGATACAAAAGCAGCACTAAAGTGAACTGAAAGATCATAATTATGTTGAACAAACATGAAAAGGAATGACCCCGGAGCTGGAAGCAAAGCAACGCCCTGGACGGATATGAAGTAGTCGGCATGCCCCCCGGCCCCCTGGGACCCAGCTCCGGTGGTATCGTGCCCATGGTTCCACAATGGGCCTGGGGCACATTTCCCTGGCAAATTATGGACCCACTGCGGTGGTCTTAGGAAAGAGCCTCTTTTCCATGCGATGATTCAGGTATCCACGGCAAACAAACTTAAAGGCAAATAACATCACGTTAAAAACAAAAATAGTTATGTTATAATGTTAGAAACAGGGTTTTGCGATATGCTAATATATTTCGGATGACGAAATAAAAAAGTCTTTTGTTTCATATACAGTATGTGTTCATATTTCGTGGTGTCGCAAATGTTTACGGCAACATTTTTTCATCATTTGGATGACAGTTCGCAAAGTTACAATAATAATAATTGAATAATAATAATTGACACTTTTATTAATCCCCGTGGGGAAATTCTTTTTATGCCTCCCTCAACTTGCTCTTTGTTATTTGTGACCCACAAAAGACAATCAACAAATATGTACCAAGATCCACAAATATTTAACAATTGACAAATATGCATTTTTTTGTGTTGTGTAAAATCATATCCACAAAAATTGTGTACAGCGATTTATACATGTGAAACATGTTTTGCGCATCTGTGGATCACGTCCTGTCTATTTGTCGATCGTACTATTTGTGACTTCCCTCCTTTTGATTTGCTGATTTTTGTTTAAGGGTGGTGTGGCTGGTAATGCTTTTTTAATAGTTTTAATAGTTTTGTGACTAGTTCTACGATCCCACTACACCCACTTGCTATTTTCTGCAATGTGATGGCATGGATAAACCTAAGTAATACAGACATGTCTTGTAAAGTGTGCTATAAGCATTAAACTATGGGGAACAAAGTACACTTACTAGCCCAATAATTCTATGTTTTGTACTTTAAACGGACACAGTACAGTTATTATTAGTAATGGAAAAGTACTGCGAAGTTAAATGGACACTACAGTTATTATTAGTCAAGAAAAAGTATTGCGAGGTTAAATGGAAACAGTACAATTATTATTAGTAACGGAAAAGTATTGCGAGGTTTAACGGGCACAGTACAGTTATTATTAGTAACAGAAAAGTAGGCTATATTAAGAGGGAACAAAAAACTATTGCAAGGGAACTCAAAACTATTAAAAAAATATTTTCCCACCAAAACCTCATAAGGACTCTGTAAACCGTATCTGATCTTAAGGAAAAAAATCACAAAATAATCACTATCCACAAATATGTATTTTTATATATGCTGTATAAAATCGTATCGACAAAAATACGGATCGATCTGTACACCTGACATGGATTGTGCACATTTGTGGATCACTTTCCGTCTATTTTTGGAACACTACATTTGTGACCTCGCTCCTTTTTATTTGCGGACTTTTGTCCAATTCCTACCGCAGCTGATCTGTAGAAAAAAAATACATAAATATGAGGTGCAGCCGTGATATATATCATTATTAGGATATGAGATTTCGTCTTATCACACAACCATAGTAAGAAACATTCATTCATGTGTGAGTTTGAAACTAAGCCTCTCTGACAAATTTATATTCTGAGAATGCTTTATTATATACTATTACATACTGCATTTTATTATTCATATTATTATTATTAATAATAATAATAAAATACAGACGCTCCTCTACTTACGAACTTTCAACTTACGAACTTTCAGACATACAAACGAAGAGGACTGTAAGTCCAAATTGTGTTCATTGGGCTCCCGTTTCCTGTCCGCAACATCAGTTTTTTTTCTGCGCGCCAATTCTGCCTAGTACGACTTCTGGCTGCTACTCCCGCCGCGCAGCAGCGTAGCGTGCGAACTCCCAGCATCCTAGTTCTTTGTACTTGCGTATACCCTTAAAATGATGAATAATGAGTTACAGACATTGCAAGTTATGAACAGCTGTTCGGAACTTATCTCGTTCGTAAGAAGAGGAGCATCTGTAATGACATTTATAAAATTACTTGACAACAGCAGGTTCAATGAATGTTAAAGATCGAATACAATAAAATGTTTTAATTTTGTTTTATTGTAAAAACTGCTATACATTTTGCACCCACAGGAAACGTGAATTTTTTGCTACCATATTGAGTATGAGTCAATTAAAAGGCCATACTTCCCTAAAGCTGCATTCACATGATAAGTATTGAGCGTTGCACTGAGCTCAGTGTCAGCGCTCTGTCCTTGTGCATGAGTGCGTTGCTGCGAAGCGTCACAGAAACAAGTGCCGAGACATTCTCATAAAGCACTCGCCTCTGACGACCTTCTTTTTTTTGGTTGTTTATTGTAGTACTTATTATTAATTGTTACATTAATATTTTTCTGCATAATGACTACAATGTTAGAAATAAATATGGTCTCTCACTGGTGCTAAAGAGCAATGAACCTAACCTCAAACCCTCCATCCTTGTCCAACTGCCAAGCAGCCACCTTTTTTCTTAGATTGTGCTACGATTTTAAAGTTGTAATATAAAACTTGGGAAAGTGCTCCACACAAGCTACAAGCTTTTCTTGCATCATTTCATCGCTGTGTTGTTTTGGCTCACGTCATGTACAGCTATTCTCTCATTGGCTGCACGTCGGAGAGGTAAACAGTGGATGGGTCAAAGCTGAATCTGGTTGAACGTTAAGTGCAGCATCAAACACGACAAATCTGAGTAGAGCTTGTCACTCAAGGCGCGATGCGAGGTAGCCAGTCAACACTCAGCTCCTCAAAGACAATGATGGAATGGCCAATCACTTAGTATGTGTATGCCCCCTAACAAAGGGGGGGATGGCCTGGGGTGTTTCTGCCGGACAGCAGCTGTTAGGTACGCATGAAGGAGCTGTCATCACCGGTCTGGGGCCACGCCCACCCACTCAGGTGGTGATGGCAAGACCAATCGGAGCACAGTACATATTTGTATTCCAAATTAAGGACTTTAGGAGACGTGACAGTTCAAAGGCGAGCCTGTGGCTGAGCAGAAAAGCCTCACGCCAGGAGCCCAAGCAGCATCTGATAAGAGCCTTGGTGATGACTCCCCCCTTTCCCTACACTGCCCCATATTTATGGTACATGATTATGGCTCTACCCTACAGCTCAGTTTGCACTTATCGAAAATACGCCCCGACCACACGACCACCACCCGACCGGCCAAATCCCTACCACCGCGGGTCCCTGTGCACTGCCCCTGATGCCAGATTTCAGAACAATTCCCAAATTTATTTTTCTTAGCGTTTGAAAACCCGCCCCCCGGGGGGGTGGGAGAGCGGGTGCCAGTCTCTTTGGGGGGGGGGGGGTTGTAGACACAGATGGAACAGTTTACACTCCTGGCCCAGACTTGACTTCCAGCGTCTGACCTATTGTAACCCGTGTTCCGCACACGGGGTGCACGGATCACTCCAAAAAGTGCTGCAGATTCCAGACTCCCAATGGTCTTTTCTGGGAGACTGCAGTAAGCCCCCCTGTACCTCCCACACCTTTTTTTCTTATGCTTTCAGTAGAGGAAAACTCCAGGGACGACTTAGCAAGGCACCACACCAGAATTGACGTCAAAAGTGTCAGCCTACAACCGTAGGTTTAAAGCAGTTATTCATACGGATTTAACGCTATTTCTGGAACCTTCTCAGACGGTCACGCACACACATGTTGTCTCTGGCCAGGAACCCCGTGTGTACTCTTAGCATTCAAATGGTTTTTTCAAACCCAACAAGTCAACATCTTCAGTAAACACACTTTCTTCGAGGAGAGGATTGACAGATCACAAAGGTTTGTGCAGCTTTTGAACAAATCCAAAACCTCATTATTGCAAACGTATTTGAGCGGTGAACACTGCCAACAAGTCAAAACACCAGATAAAATAGCATTTATACCACAAGGCATTACTTTTAAAGTCCTCTGATTGCTATTTTAAAGTCCTCTGATATTATACACGTTTAATTTTCCTGCTTGGCCCGGTTACTGTAAGTGAACTTGTGCGTTATCTGCAGGCGAAACTGCTACTGAACAGCAGGGCCTATTATGTCACAGAAGCAGAGGAGTCTCACCATATCAAACTTCTCTTTAATAGCCGCAGATCTGCCTTAAAATGGGCCGAAAGGAAACAGGTGAGGTTCACTGTGTCCATGGGTGCAAAAAAAAAAAAACAGTCGTTGTTATGTTTCAGCTACGTTGGATTTTTAAACCCAACGTTTACAGAAGATTCCAGTCGTTTAGGTTTCCAGTAATGGCCTGGAAAGATGAAGAGCACAGCCTGATGTACTTTTCACAGCAAGACCTTGGAAATATACCAACACATAAGAGAAATGCAAAATAGGAGCACGTCTGACAAGTTAATCAAACTGAGAAATATATTTTCACCAGGCCATAAAAGGGGACAGACACAAAGTCTCTGCAATATTTTTGAGGAGTGTACCACAAAGTTCCAGTCGCTCCTAAACGTTCAGGCAGGGGGAAATGAGAGAACCCATACCAGGCTGAAAAACGTCCTTGTCACAAAGCTGACGTATAAATACTACCCCTATTGTGAAAAAGCTTGAGCCGGTATGTACCGTGTGCAGCGTTAGCTTTGCCAGAAGGCTTGCTGGAGTGTCTCTCAGCCACTCTGACTGGCCAGCACTGTTTTTTCCTTTCTTTTTCCACATTGATATATTTAAAATTATTTACTGTTGATCCCAATCTTGAATGCCTGGGATTGAGATTAAATGTCCATTTCAAATGACTCATTTGACTTAATTGGGAATATAATTTTACAAAGCAGTTTTCCAGGAGGAAAAAGTACAAACCTTATAACAGCAGAGACAGTCAGGCAGACTTTAATCCAACGAGTTCATCAACCCTCCAAACACATAGCGGTGAGTGTTTTCGAAATACAAGTCCTACAACTAACTGAATATTTGTTTAATTAATGCATAATCTAATAATAAAGCTATTTACTCCTCCCATGGGTTTTCCAGTATAAAAGTATTTTCAGCATCCGCCTGCCGTTCAGCGACCCTATAAGTAACAGCAGCTTCTCAAAGCACTTCTCAGTTCGAATAACCAAACAACAGTCAGTTCAACATTACTGCTAATGCAATTCAGAAACAGGTGAGGAACTGAAAGTCTGGAGTCCCATCAACTGACTGAGATAAACGTCTCCTGAAAAATCCTACCCCCGATATTCCAGCTCAAAGGACCAATTCCGCATGCAAAACCAGCGCTATACACAGCCGTGCCATTCGTGTCTTCATAGTTCATCTCTTTATGAAGACCTGCTTTTCCTACACCAGACACTCCATTACTCCAGCGTTTCAAGAGAAACAAACAGCCCCCTCATTGGCACTCTTCAAATAATCATGCAGAAGGTCCCAAAAATCCAGAGGAACATTAAGGTAATGATAAAAGAACAGTATTTAGTCTTGATCTTCAATTAGGAATGAAATATGACCGTGTAGACTTAATATTTGTTCCATAAGAGGGGTCTGTGATTTACTGCTGAGTGAATGACAGCATGCTAATTATTTAATTCTCTCATTCGTTGCACATTGCATCTCAGCACTGACTGACGAGAATGTTTTCTGCAAAGTCTGAGCACTACTTCAGACCTACTAAAACCCAATTTTAGAAGCACAGTTTTTACGACTTTATATAAACCAACAAAGCAACGTAAAGGGGAAGGAAAAACCATTAGTTCAGGGTCCAACAATTCTAACTACTCAACAGTACAGCCTACGGGTTTACTGATGCAAGTGGCTGACAGTCAGGCTCTTTGACGTGAGACGCAGCCCTGGCAGAGCACTTACCATCCTTTGTCATCATCCTCCCCCAACTCCTCTACATCTTCTTCGGGGGCCTCTGGGGTCTCACTGATGGCTTCCGAAAGCTTGGTCTTGAATCTATCCAAGAGTGCCAGCGTCTAGCACAAGAACAATTAAGCCCATGTCATGAGTGAGGTTGGGTTCAGTGAGCGGTCCTCCGTAACCCATCCGCCAAAAACACCTTCGGCCCTCGCATACAGCAGGGATTAGAGAGATCAGCTTACTGCGAGCAGTAATCTTCATGCTACGGCCAAGGTGTGGTGAGGGTTTCCCTTACCTGTGCCTCCCTGGAGGACCCCTTCTTCAGCTTCTGTTTCCGTAGGTCTTCGTACTTCTTCCTCCCTTCGAGGTACTCAGCAACTGCCTCATTTGGGGCCTTCCCGTCAACTGTAAGGTCACATCACCTTCAGTTAGTCTCATCAGTTTGAAGGATTTCTAAGGATGTAAAACTAATCAAATACACTTTCGACATACTCTGACGCCACTGTAAAACAAATTTAAGTGCTATTAATACACAGAGTTGAACAACAAATGTATCGCGTTACAGTCTAAAAGTCAAACTATGATCAAACTTGCTGGAACATGGCTGCAGTGCAGAGTTCAAACATGGCAGGACGCTTTAATCTTTGTGTAGACCTTCTCGTAAATGTGAGCCCGCAAGACCTAAACACAAAATGATACGGAGTCATAACAGAGACCACGTGTTTACTGGGAGCTACAGCCTGTCCAGGCCTCTGGTATCCACACAGAAAAGCTACTCTGCATCTCAGCAGATGTTTTTAAGCGGCCCGAATCATTTGTTCATCATCAGCTTCTCATACCGCTGGAGACAAAAAAAAAATGTGCTGGGTCAAGTGGGCCCACATTGAAGTTCAGCCGATCGCCGTACCGACATCCAAAGCGGATGTAAGTGTCGGAATAATGTTGACTGTGAGAACTCGCTAATCATACAACAAAATACCAGGATGTCAAGGCAGCAAAGTTGTTCCTGTAGAGAGAAGGTGAGTGACCCTGCGCAGATTCAGCAAGGCTGCTAGTGAAAGAAATTTGTCTGGTTCACGTGAGACTGCAGAGACTCAGATTCAAACTGTGAGCCCCGATGAGTGAAAGAGATTTAGCAACTGCGCATATCCATTTTTAAAACCCAGATCTGATGCGGCTCCCCAAAATGTTTGGGTCCAGCGCACGTGCCGAGTTTGCCTGAGCCCGAATTTGGCCCCTGGCTCATCTAGAAAGATGACGACTGCCAAGCCCTGAACAGTCCCTCACTGGACCAGACTTAGACACAACTGCGGCTAAAAAATGGGACTAAATACCCAAAATAGAGGCTTGGTAGCCATCCAAAACTCTTCTACAAGCAATAAGAGAGGGAGAGGGGGAGAAAACGAAAACACTTTTAAAATGTGACTTGGAAACCAATCCATTAAACAAGTAGGCTTATAGAACAGGCAGTGTGATCTCAGAGGAATTTACAATAGTACTCCAACGTTTTCCTCAAATGAAAATATAAACATTTATCAAGGAAAGAATATAAGGAAGAGAGTAACAGATTCATTTCGACTATGTTATGTAGAAATGACTGTAGACATATCTCAAAAACTTTCACTATATTAATGGCTTTGTGTCAGGCTGGACAACTATGGTGATTAATATATATTCAACAAAGAAAGTATTAGAGATGCACCTATCCGATATTCGGATCGGTATCGGCGCCGCTGCAGACCTATTTGACGGATCGGGTATCGGCCATGCGTGACCGATCCACGTCCTATACTTAATTATTTAGTTTTTGGCAATCTCTTCGTGTTAAATCTATTTGTACAATCAATCGCACGACAGCTCTTTCCCATTTTACATGTGTTTTTTGCGGCATTCAATTCGAACGCAAACGCTGCCCCCAGTCTTGTTTGCTACTCAGTGGGTGTGAGTACAGTGACTTCCGTCTGCTGTGACGTCATGCGCATACCCTTCGCAGTACGAGGAGCGTAAGATAAGACGTGACGATCTGGGAGTATTATACGCTTTTAACAGAAACCAGTAGCACAGCGATTTGCAATCTTGTAAAGTAAAGTTTTGAGAGGTGGGAATAGCGTTTAATGGACAATCCCACTTAAAGCGCATGCAACTGTGCGAGACAAAAAAAAGCAATGGATGATTTGGGAGTCGCTAACCTGGACTGTTTTGCAAACTCGCTGCAGCTTGTGACACAAGAGGGGCTGCCATCGCGACAAAGTGTAACTGAGCTGAAGCCAATGGGAGAAAAACTGTGTTCAAATTTTAAGCATTTGCCACTTCTGTATACTTGCTTTGAATATATTCAAACTGAACTTCAAATGCCTCAAAAATGCTTAAAACAAGACGTACTGTACAAATGAGGTGGAACAGTACGTTAGATATGTCTGTAGTAGCCTAATTAAATATTTTTTGTCATACATTTTTTCCATCTGTATTTACTAGCTTAAAAAATTATAAATAAAGTATTACAAAGTAAAAAGTGCTCTTGTATTGGAATCTGTATCGGTATAAATTCTTGTATTGTTATGGCTTCAGAAACATTTTAGTTGTCAAGAAAAATCAACTGCAGAATAGATAAAAGGCAATTAACTATGCTTGAAAATGACATTTTTCATTGACTAAAGTTTGTTTAAAAACCTATTTTGCAATGAAAACGAAATAGTTACAGATGAAGTTTTGCAACCCTCTTTGCAGTACAGGAAATACAGAAGAACGGCTTACGATATCAACACCAGCACCATCTGTCTAGAAGCTTGTGCTTGTCATTAGTTGGACAGTATCTAGCATGTCTCTGGACTGGCTTCCCACTGAGTGTAAGAACAAGTTTCAGCTCAGTGATAAACTGATAGTGGAATCAATTACAAAGGTCAGGAAACAGATGTAGGGGCAATAAACAGTAAATGGTACAAAGGCGACTAGGGCATCTCCGCTTCCCGGGCAATTGCTGAACAGCATCCTCGATACTGTAAAACGTCTCTGTGAAAAGAACAGAGAGATTGCTTATTTCAAGAACCTTGGAAGCAATCTGCTGTTTTTTGAGGATTATACCTCTGGGTACCAGGGGGTACAAAACATGAGAAATGTTATCAAAACTAGACAAGCAGCAGCACCGAGGGAGTGACACAGCTGTCAAAACCCTGAATGATAGGGTTATGCAAGCTAGTCGGTCATACTGCAGCTAAGCTAAACCCTGAGGCATGTAACCGGGAGAGAGGTTACTAACACACTGTTAATGGGGATGGTCAAAGGGACAAGCCTAACACTAAAATGGTGTGTAGGTGCCAAGTAGGGATGTGATGCTGAAATATCGATTCTTTTGAATTGTCTGTTTTTGAGATTTGATTCTAATGTTAAAATGTCGATATTTTACCTGATATTTAACCATTTACATTATTATTATAGGGAAGAGGACACGAATTACCACCAGGACCTAAATGTCAGTGTTAGGACAGGAAGCACTTCTCATTCTGCTCCAGACCGAGACCTACAGCTCCATGTGAGTCACTCAGTCATACTACAGACAGAGACTAGCGGAAGGAAGAAAGTGCAGCTGGTTGGCTGTGGGAGACTGAAGCAGGGGAAAGAGAGACAGATCAAATCGGATCAAAAAGAATATCAGTGGTATTGCGCATGCCTGGTGCAAAGACCTGGCCACCCAAATCTGATCACCCCACAGCTCAGGGCTCCCCAGTCCTGGTCCTGGGGGGCCAGAATCCAACAGAATTTGTAGGTTTCTCTGCACAGACACACCTTAGTCGGCCAAGTACTAGGTGAGTTTGAACAGATAAATCTGCAAACTGTGTGTGGCCTTCCAGGGCCGCAATTGGGGAACCCTGCCATAATGTCCCCTGACGCTACATGCAAGTGATGCTGTAATGTACCAGAGTTTTCTTTTCAACAGGTGTTTATTTTGTTTTATTTATTTAATTTCCTTACAGGGGCATCATCACTGCAACTAGAACACGAATCAGCAAGGATTTCTGTGGTTTTTTTTGGTCCACCGGAGAAGCTGAGAGCTGGTAAATCAAAGACACGGCTCAACAGGTGTTTGATAGTCGTGATTTGGTCGTGCATTGAGTTAGCGGGGTTTATTTTAGGTTGGCCGTCACACCGATATGATGCAGAACGGCATCTGCGTAGCTAATTCCTGAGAGCACATCCTGGTAAGTACTGTGGGTGCAGCCCCACATCCATGCCTTCAACTGATCCACGTCTCTTATGGGATTTGTAATTACGCACGTGTGTTTTACATCTGATTTTCATGGCAAATTCCAGAATTCTGGACGTGTTAAAGGAAGAGGAGGGACCCAAAAGCCACCAACAGGTTAAAAACAGCATGACAGGCCAAATACTGTTGAGATCCAGGTCTTCTACAGCTGGACCAGCAAGTGGGTGACAAAGAAGGGCAGGGGTTAAATGGTGTCCGGTTGCTGCTCTGACTGTTTTCATAGTGCAGCACATACGTAGGGAGGAAATAAATAAATGACGTGAATAAGAAAGTGCCAGGAAATCAGAAACGAAGGAGCTTTCTGGACAGAAGCCAGGAGAGGGCGACATCTATAAACAGAGAGATTACATCCTCAGGGACCAAACTCAGCAGACGGCATGTCTGGGATCGCCGGCATGCCTACGGCAGATCAGACAACCTGGCACCAAGCCAGGCCTGGCCATGCGTCATACGAATAGCCTGACCTCACCTGGCCGACAGTGTCATGGCAACTGCGCCGGGCCTTTCCGGCCTTGTGCGCTCGGCGCTGACATCATGCCGTCCCGTTAAAAATTTAAAGGGTGGGACGCTGACGAAATGTATGACTGAGTAAAACAGAGGTGAAGGAATCGACTCTGCAGACAGCTTCATAAACAGCCTGCCACAGATGTGGATGCAGACACATGCTCAGTTTCCGGATGGATACTCCAATGAAGCCAGATTGAATACATCATAGAGGCTTCGTACCACCTGGGAGTGAAACGGTGAAGGTTCCATCCCACAAAAAACCTTGAAGAGCGTTTTGGTGATGGGAGGGACTCACCCAGAGGTATAGAAGTATGTTTTTAAATGAAGTCAATAAACAAAAATCCCTGAAGGGACAGCAATGCTACTGTTGTAAAAACGGGGAAATTCATCATTTTTAGGGAATTCTGAATAAAGCTCTCAGGAAGCACAGCATGTGGTGAAACCGCGCTATCTGACATTAAATGCCGTCCAAGTGCGAGGGCAGAAACTGCCTTCGGATTAATGGAAGAAAAACGGCGGGAAAATAGAAAGGCACCAAAGATTCCACCAGGGTCAGACGGTGTCTCTGGGCATCCCCCCACCCACCAAATGTGAGGAGGAACCTGAGAGATGGGGGGTTGGCACTCATGCCATCCCAGCCGGCATCCCTAAATGCCAGTGGAGAGTTCGCCAGCCTTGTGAACAGCATTCCTAGCCCATACGGGCAACCCGGCCCTAGGCAGCTACAAATCAGCCACTTTGTTGTGCCGTCCTGCAAGGGGTGTTGAGAGGGCTTTTGCTACCTCGCCATGAATGGAATGCATCCCCCCCCCACCCCCCACCCTGCAGAGAACCATGCAGGGGATCCAGTCGAAAATAAAGTGCTGGGGCTGAACCCTGACCCTCTGATCCATCGCTGTCAATGCAGAGTGATGCCTCAGGCATAGAACCCTGATACGGAAAACAAAGAACACGGGGGGTGGGAGGGGCCAAATCAGGAATTACTATGAGACAGATTTCCAAAGCTGCCGGTAGAGCTGCGGGTGTCACCACAGCTTGATTCGGACATTAATAGTGGCTAATAACGAGGGCTATTAGTTACTAGTTAAAATTGCTAATCGTTAAAATTGAAAACCTAATACATTACACAGCTTTACTTTTTTTAGTAGTGAGGAAAGCCTACAGTCACAGCACTGGGCTACCCAGAATTCCAGCGGTCCAGCAGCAGTCGGGCTTAAGGGCCCCTTGAGCGGGGTCCACGGTTATATGATTACTCTGCTGGCCATGGGAATCGAACCCACAACCTTCCGGAGACTGGCAAACATCCCTAGCCTGCTGAGCCACACACCACAGGATGTATGCATACATTTAGCATGCTGTGATTGAAAAAAAGACTATTTTTATTAATAAAATAAAGATAAACACATGCAAAAAAAATTCTGTCTGCCTAAACTCTCAGAAGACAAGCGCTTATGAGATTAAGACAAGCCATGCGGTGAGCGTCTACATGTTTACGTGCCTCTTGGATTGTACTAGATTATGTATTTTCCCTAACAGTTCAAAACTGGCGTGGAAAGGCAGAGACCGTCGACATCTCCCCACTATTTTCTGACTACGTGAGTGACAGGGCGCCACTGGAGCCAAAAAGCCCACGAGCACAAACGCACCCCGTAAAAATACCTCAGAGCGGTATTATAAAAAGGTGGCCACACGCCTCATTTAGGGTGGTGGGTATGAAGCGGACAGTGTTTTTTTCAAGTCTCTTAGTGCTCGGTTCTTATTTTTGGCTTTGCGAGAGGGCGGCCGTGCCAAGACGGGGGAAACCAGACCAAGGGAACACGCTGTAATTTACGTCTACAAAACTGAAGAGATGTCTGTCTAAAATAATAACTCAAAAGGTACAGATGTCTCTCTTAGCTCAGCTGGTGAGACCGTTGCCTTTTCCCCCCGACGCAGGATGCCAGATACCAACAGGGCGGGTTGCTGTTATTAGGGCTCGGAGTAGGAATGAGTTTGGTCTCCAGACTCATTCTGAAGCTATCCGTCCCCTGTGGAGAAGCGACTGGAGAGAGGAGAGGGAAGACCAATAGAGGATTTATTGGTGCAACGATTTGGCCGGGTGAGGAGTGCACGTCGCCCCCTACCTACAGAATGAATTAGCAGAATGAGCGGGAGCGTCATCAGAAAAATTCCAGTATCTCCCTCTTTCTGAGGACCTGCCTTTAAGGTTATCAGTTTTCTGGCTCCTCATATTTTCGACTTCCTTCTCTTTCTACACATTTCCCCATGCAGTTTTTCCTGACACATACGAACAAACACAAGCTAGATTATTACTCAGTGATAATAACAATTATTATAATAATGTGATTACAAAAAAAAATCCTTTCCTGCATTCGCTTTGCACTGGAATTTGCCCAACAGGGGCTGAGGACACGGTGAACATGGTTGGCCATAACGGCTCAAGGCCCAGCTTGGCCATGGAGCAGCGGTCCAAGCCAAACATGTGCACAAGCAAAACCCAATCCTACCCTCTGTAATTTCATTCTCAAAAAAAAAAAGAAAAAACGAAAGAAAGATGAATCGAGAGCCATTTGAGTCCTTTGTGTATTTATCAATAGCATAATAGAGTTTATGCTTGGCTCTGGGACAGTGGCAAGCACGACCATGGCTTGGCGGCCTGACAGCATCTTTGCTGACCATAATTTTACGCTGCCATTCGTCGGGAGCCCTTCCAGGATGTGTCGGGAAGGTGACGGCTCTGTAACCATACCATGCTTCTGCCAGCAACCAGAAATACAAAACTCGCTGGGATCTATACCCTTACTCCAGACTCCATCCTGTTTAAAATACAAAATCACTGCTCTCCGGCCTCCAGGGGGATGCTAAGCGGCAACGTCGGACTGCAGGAAAGCTAAGGGACAGACTGTTCCTTAGGGCAGAGGGTGGGCAACTCCAAGCTGCATTGACTACAGACTGTCCCCGTCTTATAACCTATACGACCTATACGAAGTTTAAAAAAAAAAGCTTAACCTAAGGACCTAAGGTATGTAGTCATACACCCGACGGCGCTGCGCCACCTAGTGTGCACATCATGCCATACCAGTTCCCTCGGGAAAGTACTGTGCTGTATGGCAGAGTGATTGTCCCAACCTGTCATGCATCTCTGTCTCATTCTCTCACCTAGTGTGATAAATCCTGTTCTGCCGTACGCCCATTTCGATATATGATCTGTCACAACAGAACCCGTTCGTTCGTGGACAGTTTGTACATGTAATTTATTACCTACATTAAGTATGACATCAATTGCCACAGTGAATGTACCAACTGCTATAGTTGAATGTACTAACTATATAAGGCAGTGTTTCCCAATCCAGCCCTCTGGGAGCCACAGTCAACAGTATGGACTGTCTGGAAGGGAGCAGGGAGGGAGCAAAAACATGAACCGACAGTTGGTCCCCGAGGACCGGATTGGGAAACACTGGTATAAGGTATAAGTCACAGCAAGATGACATTAGCGATGTAGCCCTCTCTAACTGTCATAGTGAGATGCAGTACATGGTACTAACGGTACCGGCCTCCCTGTAAACAACACGCGAGCATTAGCCAGCCACTGTGACGCTCATTCGCCATGATGAATACTGTCACTGCCACTACAATGACAATCACTGGAATGAAGCATTTCGAATCCTGGGGAGGATCAAGGAAGGAGTCAGAAAAAAGTTAGTGTGAATGTGTCTGGGATGGAACCAATGTGTGATCACTGCTTTGTAGTGATAAATTGTACGTTTCAGATCAGATGTGTCGGGGAGGCCACCAAACATCAGCTTTGACTCCTACATTTCCGTGCACACATGCCTTCAGATTTGCACAGTGTCATACCATCTTGCGTGCCGTGACATGATGTTACTCTTTGCTCTATCTTGCTCTTTCTCCGTAATTTCACCATCTTCAGCATCGATCCTGTGTCTCCATCTCAGCGGTCCGTTATTATCTGGACCAGAACCCCCATAGTCATCTTCACTTTAGCTCCAGAAGCTTCTGTCGGTTGCCAGCACTGGTGAGAGGGTCACCGCCCCCCCACCCCCCATGTGGGTGTCCAAGCACTCTGGGGCACACACCTGCCCCCCTAGGCCCCACCATCACCCCCCGTCACCCTTATCTCCTAAATCGCTCTCCTTAGATGTCCCAGCCCAGGCTCCACATGCACTGTGCATGTCAGACCACAAGACAAACACGAGGCAAACCTACGGAATGCTTACTTTCACAATAGCTTCTTTTTCACCCCCCGAGACATTTGATATCGTTGATTCTGAAGCGCCTCGTCCTGACTGATACCTTCTGACCGAAACAGGGCGTAAAAATATCCTGCGAAGGCCAGACGTCGCTCATCAGGGGTGCAAAATAATGTCCTGGCATGAACCGAGGCCCCTGTAGGCTGCCTCTGCCTCTGCCCCTGCCTCTGCCCCTTGCATATTGTCATCCCAGCACTGACGCTATCTTGCTCTCTTCGTGCCCAAGCTGTGCAGTAATGAAATGAAATATTTCATTTCCCTTATGTACGGATAGAAGTACAGATACACTGGATGTTTTATCAGATATCCCATCTGACTCTTTTTCAAAGACACACACACACTGGAGAGACCACTCTATATTTTTCAAAAATCTGCATTTTTAAATCCTGGTTTAATCCTGGTTCTGCTGGCAGAAGACTACACTACGAGGCAGCCTGCTTCCAAGCTCAAAGTTTCTAATACCTCAGTACTCAACAACAAGGTGAAGCAGGAGACACTGGTAATAACCAAAAACAAGCCAAGTAGAGGGCAGAAGCAACTTTCAAATGCCAGAGGTGACTGTCAACTTATTTGGCAGTGCCTCATAAATCAGAGGATGACATCAAGTGACCTTCAAAAGGAATGGGAAATGTTAAATGTTAAACTTATCAGGCTCCAAGAAGCAGGACTAATGACCCATAAAGGAAGGAAGAACCCCTTCATCAATGAGAAGCAGGGAAGAGCCAGGCTGCAGTTTGCAAAAAAAATACATATTTTACACAGGTACATACCCATAAATTAAGAAATGACAGAAACTAAAAATTTTGCTGTGGTCTCTTAATTTTTTCCAGAGCTGCAGAGGCGAGAGTGGTGCTTGGGGTCGGAGCCCAGCCGTTTGTCCAGCAGCCCTACAGCATTTCCGGGGGTTATAGGCCTTACTCAAGGGCCCAATGGAGATTCAAACCACCCCCCTCCATTAGAGACCTGGCCCCACACAGGAGCTCAGTCCCTCATTACAAGACACTGCAAAGTATCACCAACAGATCTGAGAGTCTGGGGTTCCCAAGTGCAGAAAATCCAGGCAGAGACAGCCGTGAAGCACGCTAAACAAACGCAGGAACGGCAGGCACGCCACGCACCCAGCAGGTGTAATATAAACACTCCAAGCTGTTAACAATGCGTCCTAAACACGGTGTCACCCTTGATCTGTCTGGCAAGTTAAATGCGTACGAGATACTATCAGTGAAAGCACAATTCTGAGCTGGCGTGTCCCGGGCCAAACGCAGAGGGGAAAAGTCGTAACGCTGCATAAGGCTCACCCCCCCCCTACCAGGCCCCAAGAGCAGCAGCTCAGAGGCCACAGGCTTCCCTGTACTCAAGCCCATGTTAATCCACAGAGAAGGCAGCGCACACGGCATTATGGGAAATAAGCCGCAGGAATTTACGAGCCGGGGAGGAAACTGCGGATTCACCTTATCTCTGCTAGACTGAGTGGGGCATCCAGGGCCCCTTGCATATGGCTGTAAGGAGCATAAGTTATAAAGGACACCGCAAGTCTGCACATCTCTGGTCCCATCATATGGGATGCAGCTGAGCGTTACTGGCACCAGGCCTCCGTAGGTGGAGGCTTTCAGAGAGATAAGCACTTTGGCAGAGAACAGGCAACTGCAGATCCACAACATCCCTGCAGGGGGCGATGTAACACGGCACCCAAGAACACACAGTTCCCACAGCTAAACACAAACGCATTTACCTCTAGACAAGGCAATTTAGGGGCATAAAATATGAGGCGGGAGGGGAAATTGATAGAAAAATTATTTACCTGCCACAAATAAAATTCCCCCCCCTAAATCTTACAAAAGGGTAGCCCTCATGACCAGACTTGGGTGGCCCCAGCAAGTAAACCACCACCACGCTGGGGTGCAGCTCATTTTGTTATTATATATGGACTGTCATCCTTGAAAAGCTGGATGAATAAGAACACCGTTCAATCGCTCTGTCCGTTCGCCCCGAATCTGTGGAAGTCAGCATTCCTCAGCTGTGGCCCCGCAAGGAATCATCTGCAGCACAGAATCCCAAAAATGTCATTCCCGAGTGTTCTTCCAGTACAGCGACATAAAAACAGACCTGGAGCCGTTAAGAGAGGCTCCGGTTCCCTCTCGGGGGCCGGCGGATCTATGTGGGGGGGGGGAGGGGGCTGCGCATCCTACACGTTTGTGTGTAACTAGAGGCTCCTTCAAAGGCACGCATGGCCTCAGCTGACCCACCAGCCAGGGGGGGGGGGGGAACTGGGCAGGGGCTTGGAAAAAGGGGGTGGGCAGTCGCATGGGGGTGTGCAGACTCTCCTGCTCCGAAGGGGGGAGGGTCATAATTAGCGGATGGAGGAAAAAAAAACGACGGGTGGAAAGTCATCCCAAACCGGCCAGTCACGGCAATCTCTAGCTAAAGGGGCGTGGCCTGTCGAACCCAAAGCCGGGATTTAAAATTTTAAATAGGTGATTTTATAAGCATGCCATCATAGAGAAATCATTGTGACAGCCCTCACAAAACCATGATCCCTCGATGTTTTACATACGAAAAAATAATATGCAGAAACGTAGAAAAAGACAGAATGAGCGCAAACTGTGAAAGTCAGAAAGATAGATCTACAGGAATGAAGCATAATCAATTGTACTTCTGTAAAAAAAAAATATATATATGGAAACATATATATATATAAAAAAAACAAGATTCTAGCCAAACTGGGTATAGACCTTCCATCCTCTCTAACTTCGGTTCATGATGAAGACATATGGGGTAGCTGCCCAAACAAAATGCTGTTTCATTGCACTACCACACGGGGGCGCCACGAGGGTCTTAGGAAAATTAAATCTGCGTCCAGCATAAATATGAAGGTGATGTCATGGCTGGCCCGGATGACATAAACATCACAAGAGCAAAAGCTAAGCACGGGAGGCTGTGCTTATTTTCATGCACACCCCCGGGGTCCAGATGGCAGAAAGCTGGTCAGCGTCAGCCCAGGCGAGACGCTTGCCTCTGTGGCCGCTTCCTGAATCGGCTGCTTTTTCCAGCATGTTGGTTCGCACAATGTTTACGGCAAAGGAGACCATTTTGGTCCGGCTGGCAAGCTGCGTAATTTCACATGACAATCGGCCCCTTTTCATATCTGACGGACATGACACCCCACCATCAAGCTGGGGGACACATAGCACCATTTAGAAATCCTTAAGTTGTACATGTATGTTATTTATCCTCAGTATCCTGGTATTTGCTATTTATTATTATATACTGTTTTAGTCTGGAGCTGATCCTGTAAGCTGCATAGGACAAGTGGATATAGGAAGTGGATGGATGGATATTGCTTATGCCAGCAGGGAGGCATGCAAGCATTTCATTGTACTTGTACAAATGACAATGAAGCTTTTGAATCTTCAAATCCTCAGAGACACTTAAAAATAACAGGTAACGAAGCTTCCCGATCAATCTGACTATCGTCATGGCGCCCGACGTTTGGGGGAAGGCAAGGAAAACGTTGAAAGGAAAACGAGAACGTTCAAAAACTGGGATGTCCTCAGATGAGCTCTTACCACCATCGTCAGCCTCCTCTGGCTTGCTAATGTCTGCTCTCCTCTGCTTGATGGCCAGCAGCTCCTTCTTCAGCTGTCGGGCCTCTTTGCGGAGCTCTTCACTGCGGAGGGAGGAACACAGACAGAGCAGCGTCAGACCAACAGTCTGAAAGATTAGGATGAGACACACCTGAAGTACATTCTGCCTCAAGTCCTCTAGCAATCAGCATATGAACCCAGCAGGACCTGTGCTATACGCTTGGACCCCTTGGGCCACCATACACAGACCGATCTGTCATCGCGCCGTCATCTTATCATCAGTCAGTCAGTCAACCGCACAGAACACCACCTTCTCAGCCGCGACCCGCAGGGCTTCCTGTTGGCCCCCGATGCCGCTGAGAACAATGGAGGGATTTAAAGTGATCCCCCCCCCACCCCCCTGCCTTGAGGGAGGCACAACACGTGCTCATTAAAGACTGCTTTGTTATTGGAGGACTTCTTTTAACGGGAGGAGAAGTACAAAGTCGGAGATGAGGTGGACATTAATTACAGAGGGAAACAGCCGGCGAGAAAGTATGAGGACGCAGCCAGATACAACATAACATCCCCCAGTGCCAGTCACCTAATACGCCTCTTTTCACACATCCCAAAGCAGTTTGTACCCTACATCAGGCTGTCACTGTTATTTATATGCATGCATGCTTATTTATTAAATGCACATTTTTTATTTCCATTTTAGTTCTGTTGTATTCACTGTCTTGATTCTATGTTTGATTGTCCACTTCATGCCGCCATTTGCACCAAAACAAATTCCTTGTGCTTTTTGGACATGGCAAGTAGAAAGATTCTGATACTGAAAGTGTCCTGCAAAATCCAAAGTGACTGGTAGAAACACCATGTACAGAAAAGCATTTGTTCCTTCTGGGGGGAAAACTAAGTACAGAGCAAGATAAATGACGCTCTAGGAGACGTCTCTTGTGTATAGGTTAGGGAAAGACCCCGTCCTCGACTGTCACTGTCCCCATTGGCAAGGTGCTGGCTGACACCCAAGGAAATTCAAAGGAAACACCAAGATGCCCGAATCTAGGAGAGCAATGGATGAATAGGCTCGTCCTGCACTGCCACATGGGGTAGCTTATGAAAGAGGGGAACTAGGAGGACACGATGTGCTTCTGCAGGCGAGAAAGCATGAGGATACAGCCAGATGTAATGTATCAACCCCCAGTGTCATTCAAAAGCTCGATGAATCAATGTGGTATCACCCACATCCAGCCGAAAGCTTCGTACCTCCCCTGGCAACGAGTTACCGACCCGCCGTCTGGTGGGGAGACCAGAGCTGAAAATGAAATCCAGCAGAATGCCCCACCTCCCACCCCCCAAATCAGAAGCAGATGCTCAGTGCCCTTGGCCACTCTCAGCCGCTATCGGATCGCCCCCACTGCAGATTCCCGCTGGCAGAAAAGCGCCCAGCTCACATCTGCCGCTTAGAGGTGTATGATCCGAGATGCCCATTCCCACCTCTGGCGGTGCGCACCTCCTCTGAGAGGGACTCCTGCCCTGCGTAGCCCCTCCCTGGGGAACGCAGCTTCCTGTGCTGTTCCCCTCATAAAGCGTGGTGGCTGAGAGCTCTGGAGTGGCGCTCTCAAGTGGTGCCGCTTTTTTTTTTTTTTATATAGCCGCCATGGAGCAGTGCCTATGGATTCTTCAATTCCAATGCGATCCAAATGTTCTGGAGACAAAGGGATCCCACCAGGACACAGTCAGTCCCAAAAAGGGAACAACAATGTTGCAAATCTGATGACTCTGGAGTTTTTTTTTCCCCCCCAGAAACCCGTCTCGTAAGGACCATCAGTGCTCTTAAGTCTACCCTAATATTAGGCTGTAAAGTTTTCCTATTAAACCTAAACAAATAAGTGTCTTTCTCTTGAATCACAACCTCCATTCCAGCAGAGACCAGCTTCCTGGCTCTTCACCTGCCACCAAACCCGAGCTGCGCCAAAGCCGTACCCTGAACTCACATGGCCCTGCTTATCATTAGACCCAAAAGCGTGACCAAAGACCACATTCTATATATTATTCATTATTAGTAGTATCACACATTGTAATGTATTGAGAAATTCTCGATAATTTGGAACCTGAAAATTTCCATCCTCCTACTTAAAAAGATCTATAGAACAGCTGAACAGAATGGATTCATAACGCAAATTCCACTACTGTCTGATGCTAACATAACAGAGGTTCTTCCAGACTTGCTAGCAGAAATTTGCTCATAGTAAATCATAATATACATTGTGTGAACAGTAAACATGTCTTTGGCTTAATGTCACTAACATTCTGCAAACCCTGGAAGTGGAACCACGCTGTAACTCATCTCTCTTTGCAGTACAGGTCAGCTATGGCTTGGTTTCTGTATGCCAATGGAAAAGCACCAACAGTTTGCATTCTCCACACGAATGCTCTCCTTGCGTCCAGTCACCTGCTCAACATGCTGCACGTTTCAATTTAGGTCTTAAAAACAGGATGGTCAATCTTTAAAATGGGGGTGTGACAGCCGTGAGTCACCCCTGCCTCAAGGGGGGGGGCACGGGGCACGTATCCCGTGTAGCAAACACGGTAATATCATTAAGCAGCCTCAGAACTCTGCTACATGGCTACAGGTAAGCGTGAAGCTGCCCCCCCCCCCTCCCAGAAAGACGGGAACCAACCCCCCCAAACAAAAGCGGCCTTTGTTCCCACACATCTGCTTCTCTGAACCACCACCACTGCCCCCCACCCCCACAGCCTTCATCTCTCCTTCTTTGCTCCCCTTTCTCCGAATCCCCCTGCCTTTTTGGTGAATGGCGGGTGGAGGGGCGGATCTGGATCGGTGAGAGTCTGAAAGGGATGGATGAAGTGATTCCAAAATACGCTTGCTGCCGTGATGCTCCAGAAAGCGCCGGAGATGTCAGTGCTTCGTCAATGAACCTTCATCCAAGGTTGCCTCATGTGCCATCAAGCTCCGTTTTAGCGGGGGGGGGGGCCTACCACCTGCAGCCCTGCTCCCCTGAGGTCCCAGTGTGCCGCTCGCCAGGGGCCCCAGGGAGACGTTTTTTGAGAAAAAGGGGGTGACATACAACTCCCTATCCTCCCATCCCCACCGCTGTCACGTATAAGCCAGCCCCCCTCCAATCTGTGATAATCTTCTCATTTCCTGTGGGGCCTGTTTGTTTTGGAAGGAGCTACCAGATCGACTGAGGTGCAAGGAGGGGACAGGTCACCCCTCCCGCTCAGATTCAGACAGCCAGGCTCTGACGACACAGTGTATCATATCACTCTTACAGCATCCCGCTCGCTCAGATTCAGACAGCCAGGCTCTGACGATACAGTGTAAAATAACGTTTTTACAACATGCCACTGGCTCAACTGGAGAACTCAAAATGTTTAACCAGAATGGCTGTGAATTATTACCAAACTCACCACGTCCATTTGCAGGCCTCTTCAGAAACAAGGCCCCAGATTTCCCACAATGCCATCAATGACAGCTGGGAGTAGCGTAAGTAACTAAAAACGTCAGAGGTGGATAGTTGAGGTCCAGAAAGTAAAAATCCAAACCAAGATTTGGTTTCAACCAACCAGCTGAGTATTCTGTGACTGTGACTCCTCATACTGAACTTGTTCACAAAGTGCATGAATACACTTTTGTAGATTCTACTGACATGGGGGGAATTCGATCCTATAGCTTTAGTACCAGTCTATGTGACTGCAGCTCACAAAACCTTATGTCACTACTGGTGGAAATGTCTGATGCGTTATGACTTCAGTAGTCTTTATGCATAGTATCTGAGTCTTCTATCGACTACCTCAGAGGTCTTCAAGTTCTACTGCAACAACCAACTGAAGACACGATCTAAAACCTGCAGGATCTCCAAGGTTCCCAGAGTCTCTGAGGAAGTGGAACCACTTAATCTAAAGAATAAACAAAAATAACTGTCTCTCTTTATGAGTGGACTTTCTGGTCAGAGCCCATACATCCCCGTAGAGGGGAGACACTGGACGTCCATAACTTTCGTAAGTCTTGTCGACATTCATCATTCCCAAAGCACACAGTACGTTGGACACCTGGCAGACATGTTTAAAATCAACTTAATTACACGGTTTAGTTGCTGATCTTCCTTTCGCTAACTTTCTTCCAGCGGCAGTTAGTGAGAGTATCTGATGACTCTGGGGAGCTGTGGATGATGTTCGTTTCATAAAGGCAGCACACGGACTGCACATGCCCAGGGAAGCTGTTCCGCACAGTTAATGCTTTCACGCCCGGCAGAGCTCTACCACAGGTGGAAAGAACGACAGTCTGTTTAAAAACATATAACACACAGCCGGTCATGCCCTAACTCTTACTTATTATGCATGACATGTGCTCCAGGTAGTCTGATGAGGACACTTTTATCCAACAGGCCCAGGTTCACTGCTTGTGACTGCTAAATTTAATATTCACGTTTTAACAGCGACAGTGTCCTTCGTTCCTGTGTTTTCTCAGTGGCTGAGATGAAAATCACCCTCCACAGAGGCGGAGACCATAGGCTGAACCAAAAAAAAAAGCCCAGTAGCGCACTGTCAGCAATGGAAGCTCTGAGAGAAGCCTATGGAGCTCCCCACTGTAGCCTGGTACATATCATCAGACTCCTTTGACTGAAAGGTCTTCTGGACATTTGTTATGGGAGGGGGAGTTAACTGTCCATGTGTTGGTATCTCTCATGAGGACGTGATGTGGTGGCCAAGTGACGGACAGCCACGTTAAGCACCAAACAGGCTCATCCCTTCTTCCAAGGCCACAGAAACGCAGTGGCCATTGGCCATCATGGGAAATGTCGCAGCAAATTCCTCAGAATATTCACACTGCCTGGTTAATGTCCTTGGACATCTACATTCATCTGATTCTCTAAAAGTAAAGGAAATCATTCTAGCTGGCTTACGGTTTAGACACAAGATCTGCGTAATACTTTCGAACGTAATATATGGGCAAATATAATTATGAATTATGACAATGTTGCTTCTAATCAAATCGATTAACTCCATATGCTCAATGCAGAGGCAACTTGATGTGAGTTCATAACATTACACCATAGATATTTATATTAAAAGT